TGCAACCAAATCATGATTCTTCCTCAGAAACACAATGAACCAAGTAGGAAAAGTTTGTATTTGGTCTTTTCTTGCACTTACAGAGACCAAAGAGCTTTTATATGGTGTGTTGGTATCAAACAAACCCTGACAGGCCTGAAGATTTTGATGTTTTTTAACATGTAAACACCATAATGGAATCAGCTGAATCACTCATTCTCATTTGACTCTCGAAAACCACATTTTATTGAACTAAGTAACTCAAGCATCAGAAATGCATCTTTGGTGCTTTCAGTAAGCCTTTAAAAAGCAAACCCCAAACGTTTATCTGTGAAACAGTGCTTAGTCAGCACAATCAAGAGTGTAAACAGTGTATCTGCATTTCTGCACATGTAAATATCGTGGTTCGATCAAGGGGTTTCCCTGTGTGGCCGCATCTGGAAGTTATTTTGACCAACTAAACTCTCCTGTAAGGACAACTTTGAGAATTAACAGAAAGCGTGACTTTACTACTGCCCTCTGGGAAGAAAACCATAGGTATGGGCACAGATAATGGAGGAGCACTTGTAGACGCTGTCGTCTTGTAAGTCGCTATATTTGCTGTCATGATTCACTGGGAATGGTGGAAATTGTCTGCGGGTTGGGCAAAAAGGTCTTATGTTCCTTTTAAATTATTACGGACATGACGAGAAGTTCTGGAACTGGTTAAGAAAATGCAAAGGAGCCCAAAAAGGGGGAGAGACGTGACAGTACGGTTTCTTATAAAGCCAAATATCAGACTACAGCCATATGAGACGTAAGATGCTGATGTAGATAAATGGATATTCACATATCATGAAGTAAACCAATGGATGATTTTATCAGAACGATGCAAACAGGCTGTTACACAATAAACTCAATTTAACTTGCATCAAGTTGCCATATTTCGATTACTTTAAACATCACATCTTGCATAAAAATAATTAAATAAATATAAATAAAATAAAATAAAGAATCAATAATGATAAGTCTTAGGATGTCTGAAACACCAACACAAGTTATTGTTAAAGAATGTTACATTACTTTAACGAGGCTAATTATTTCTGAACAGAAGCAACACAAGGGTGAATCTCACAAAAACTGACAGAGCAATTAAAAAAAAATAAGAAATTATATTTTACTAAAATAAAATGACTATTCTTAAGACCACTAAAGATTTTGCATTGTGACATTATTTTTATGAATTACCACACCATTTGTCCGTAACATACTGTAATGAAATAAAAAAAATTTAATTATTAAATTACATACATATGCCTATATACATATAAATGAAAAAAGCGGTTTAGAAACGTACTATTGTAAAAAAAATTATATATATATATAAATGGATTATTATTTTATAATAATAATATAATAATGTTTCTACACAGCTTTTTCATTCATTTCACATTCAATTTACTTTGCAGTCTCAATGAATTACAAATGTCTTTTTTTTTTTTGTCTGTGCAATCTTTAATCACAACATTCTAACTTGATGACTTTTCACGACATCACAAATCTTTATCACGTTCCAATCCCTCCCTTCAATCATCTGCCTCTATGCTGGAAAATAACACCCACTTTACACAATCCAATCAATTTACAATAGATAAAACGAAGTCCCGCCCCACATAGACTTACATAAAATGCAATACAAAAAGATTTGAACTTTCATCTGAAACCCCACCCCCCACACCTCAAATGAACCAGAGACTAGATTACGCTCCACTGATCTGAACACGTGTCCAGAGTCGAGGACGTGTCCCACATACGTTCCTGTAGCTGAATAAACAAATGATGTCTGCTGGTTGATTCTTTTCAGCCTTTAGAGGAGAAATGCTTTTAAAAATGGGCTTTATTAGAGCAGATGTCATGGCACAGAGTCTCACCATCTGTAGAGAGCAGTGATTGTGCGGTTTGTTTGTGAGGGGAAAAAACTAAACTGTGACACTGATTCTTGTCTCTATCCAATGACTGTATTTTGCCTGCTGGGAAGCTGCTACTGGCAAATTTCTTGATACCCATACAGAGCCTTTAAACAGACAATAAAAGGCCATTTGCTTTTTGATTACTCTAGAGATGTTGGCAGAGCGATAGAGGCACTGGCAAGGAAGGTGCTAGAGGTCTGAATGATGACTGTTTTCATAATATTCACTCATTAGTGAACTTGCTTTGATATTTACTTTAAGTTTGGGGTCAGTAAAATTATTCTTTTAAAGAAATTAATACTTTTATTCAGTAAGATTCATTACATTGTTCAAAATTGACAGCAAAGACATTTATAATGTTCTAAGTATATATATATAATATATTTAAAATAAATGTTAAATAAATGCTGTTCTTTTCAACTTTCTATTCATCCAAAAATCCTGAAACAAATGACAAATCAGTGTTTCCACAAACATATGAAGCATGACACTGAAGACTGGAGTAATGATGCTGAAAATTCAGCTTTGCATCACAGAAATAGAAAACAAATTTTTAATTGTTTTTATTGTGTTTTTGACTAAATAAATGCAGCCTTGGTGAGCATGAGAGACATCATCATTAACTTAAACCTTAAGTTTTCCTGATTTTTTTTAATACAATGAAAGTAGACAGTCAAGCTCCAAAAAGGAAAAAAGCACCATAAAAATAATCTGTATACTCTCATAAAGTAGTCTTTTGTGTTGTATTTCAAGTCTTTTCAAACAATACAAAAACGTATTGAAAAAAAAAAACATACACGTAAGTACATTATATATCCAATTATTATTTTACATTTACTTATTTGCCATTTTTGGAGATGGACAGTCTCAGTTCCCGTCATTTTCATTGTATGGAAACCAACATTAAGATTCTTCAAAACATCTGCTTTTGCATGAAGAAAAAGTCATTTAGCTTTGGAATCACATGAGAGCGAGTATAGGATGACAGAATTTTTGGGTAAACTGTTCCTTTAACTCCGTCTGCCACATAAAATGAAGACTCATTCATGATACACCTCCACTAATTTGTGTCACGTTTTATAAGAGCAGTCCAGCTCTCTCTGAGGCACAAAATTGTGCATAATTAGCCGAGGCATTCAAAGCCACGCGGCTGTTTAAAAACCTCATTCCAGGAACAGAATGAGAATCCTCCAGCTGGATTTCTCCACTCGTGTGATACGAAGTGGCATATGTGATATTATTCTCAAAAGAAGTTACAGCCAGGTCTCTATGCCATGGAAGTCTATTAAAGTTTGGAGAGTCTTACCGCGGGTGACAGAGCCTGCAGAAAGAGAGAGAAAGTCCAATACAAACTCTCAGTCTCCCGCAACACCTGACACGCGAGCACACGCACAAACCATCTGGTGTAGAGGCACCATTCTGTCATAGGCCTCGGCCCATCACCGCTTTGAGCATCTGCTGACATGGGGAGCAGCCGCTGATACTGGGAGGCTACAAACACTTTTAAACAGAATCAGTTTAAACATTTATTCTGCATGCAGAGTCACATAAACACTCTTGTATTTACAAAGTTTTAAAAGACCCTCATTAAAAGTTAATCTCTCTATATCCCAGCATAACGTCAATACAATATGAAGCCAAAGCGTCATTCTTATATGTCTGCCAACTTCAGAAACTTTCACATATGTCTGCCAACCCAAAAAACACGGGCTCGGCTCCAAATGCTAGTGAGCTGCCTTTCTACCTACTGTCTACTTTGGCAGCTCCCTTCTAAGGCAACATCCCTCGGTTAACAAATCTATCGTGTCACACGTACCGCACCTCTCATATAAAGTACATAATCTGCATTCATCTACTGCTCATAGTTAATCATATTATTCTAGACATTGGCATGCTGCTAACAAATAAAGTAACAAAAAAAAAAAGCACTGACTCTAATAAGCAAAAAAATCCGTGACACACAAATACTGGGCGAAATTGTTATTTTTTTTAATCAGATATTTTTATCAATATTTAACAATACAATTTCAAATTGTATTGATACATATTTATCACTGTGTCAATACATTTCAGAAAATATGTCTATTTAAAGTTGATGCAGGATACAATTTCTGATCAGTCAAGTTGCATGATTTTCCCAGTCTTTTGGTAATGTTTTTTTTTATTTTGAATTAATTTTAGATTTTGCCAACACAAGCATTTTTAGCTGAAGAATTACTTTAATACTCAGCATAACGTAAAATTATATTGACTATAGAAAAACAACAGAAATTTCAATAACCTTTAAGATTTTATTAATGTGACTAACAGGACTGGGGGATAAAATAAAAATAACAAAATAAAAATAAATAAATGAAAAGAAAAGATAGATAGATAGAATGACAGAACGATAAATAGAACGACAACGACAGATAGCACAGACAGACAGACAGATAGACAGATAGACAGATTCAAGAACTGTGGGAAACCCTGAAAGCATCACCTAAGAATAATAACACTTAAATAATAACTCAAGAATAATAAATAATGCCAAATAATCTCCAAAACAGTGTGACTATTTTAAAAAAAACAAACACGTTTTCTCAGGATCGGCGTCCCCTCAGGTGCCATCAATCAGAAGTTGCTCAAAGCAAATCTAAACCATTCATGGGATTTTTATTGTACAATTACGGAGACCACTGAGGTATTTTCCTATTAATAAGGAAAAAAGAGCTGGAGAGAGCAGCACCCCAGGGGGCCTTGACTGGAAAAATACAAGGTGCTGGCAACTGACCAATGGTTTCCGTACAATGGAAGAGGGGTTCTTGGAAAGCCGCTTCTGTCTGCTTGACTGGCCGCAGGCGCGGAGAGAAAGCAGCATCCAAGGTTGTGTAAAATGGACACCAGAGAATAAAACAACCGGAATTATAACTGACATTTTTATGGCCGCAGTTGCAGGGGTTTATGGGTATCATACACAACATTAGATAACAGGCCTCCAGGAGTTTAGGTGCGCTATGAGCCAATCGACCGCAGTAAAATGTGTAATTAGATGGAGGATGTGTGTAAATCTGAGGACGTGAGTGATGATACCTGGATCTCTGTCGCTGGTCCAGCGCTGCTCGTTTGGCTTGCGTCTCCAGCTGTTGGAGATGACGGTGCCGGCGTTTTCGGCAGGGCGCCACATCTGTGATGTCATTTAAGCTGTCATCCATCGGGTTGCTCTCTGGCATCTCTGTTAGACAAAACATGGAAAAGTTAAAGTGTTAAAGTTCATCCAATTTTCATATTTGCACTTATTTAGCTGAGGTTTTTGTCTTTTAAAGATGATGTACTTCACATTTAGTCAGTATTTCATTATGCCATATCCATGAATTTTACTAAATTTTTAATCAGAAATGGTATAATTAATTGTAAATGTAAATATTTTTAATTAATTTAGCAGAACGTCTTATAAAAATATATCATTTTAATCTATAAAAATAAGATTTTAATATTATAATGTGAAAAAATAATGTGCATCAAACAAATGTACTTCTTTTTGGAAAAGATTAAACATCTTAATTTACATAATATCAGGCAGATCAATCCTGAACATACTATGACTGAATATTATTCATATATTATATATTCATATACAATATAAATGAATTAAATTTATAAAAATATTAATATAATTAATTATTATTATTTAAATACATGTATTTAAATAACAACAACAACCATTATCATCATTTAAATACATTCTATATTTCTATTCCTTTTATTAGTGCATTGTTATAATCTTAAATTGTTAATTTAATTAACAGCATCTGAATAAAAAAAAATTTGACTTTAAAAAACAACAGTAATCATCAACTAAATTATTTTGCCAATAATATCAATGAGATTAACCCATTTCATTTAAAGCAGAAATATTCAGCCAACCTGATCAGTTATTGCTATTTCTAAATATGAGCTACATAGCCATCTGTTGCTAATTTAATGATTTCAGTCAAGATGAGTTATTATCTGTGAATGTTATTATTTGTGAATGTTTGCATATATAATGACTCTGAAAGGGATTAATGGAGGCTCTCACAGCCAGTGTTCAGGCAGCCGGCCAACATGTGACTCCGCTAACACAATCAACATCATAAACGCATTAAAAGCATGTTGAGCATCAACATTAAATGATGTACATGCAAGTTGACTGCAATAAACCCCAGCAGGAGCACATCTGTCTCATGAGATATGTCATTGTAGCACATTGTAGAAACCGTTCAAGATTGCAAAGCATTCAATAGTACTTGTTTTTTTAAATACTTGTGCTTTGCATTGCCAGACACGTTTCCATGATTGTTTCTAGCAATTGTTTACGTCTACATGAGTTTAATTTACACTGGACAGGTGAAACTGGGTGGGTTTGACTCAAGTTAATTGGTGCAACAAACATCCTAACCACATTAAAGGCTCTTTCAATTATGCTTCATGTACTGCACCCTTATGGTAAACTTTATAGTTAAGAAAAAGGACTAAAGCTACAACTCAGACTCTTTAAATACAAAAACATTACCATGCACACACTCTGAAACATAAACCATTGAATCGCTTTAAGGAAGGAAAGAAAAGGACAATAATTGAAGCCCAAAGCTCTGCCAAAGTGACACACACCTAGCAACCATACATTACAATTCATACTGTTTACAGGGTCACACGACCATGGAAGGTTTTTTTTTTCCTAGCTGTGGTGCTTTTTACTTTCACTCCTCAGAGTTTACACAAGGGGAAAACCAGAGAAATTGAGCAACCCGCAGACTAAATCACGTGTGACTCCACCTCATTTCCCTTTCTGTGCCTCAAAACTGTGACTCAACAGCCTGACGGAGCCCCCAAATATGGCTTTCGAGTAGCCCAATGTCGAAATCGACCAAAAGCAGACGGTGTTGCCAATGAACAAGTCGTCTAGGACATGACGTCATAAACAATGACGGACGGCACAGGCAAAAGCTGAGGGAATGAACTACCTGTAGGCCGTCTCAGTTCTGGGTCTCAGCAGGGGAAAATACATTAGCGTGGTCATTCTTTGGACAAGAGAGCAAATACCTAGAGTGATGTTATCGCTCTCATTGACGCAATGCAATTACAAGTCTTTGCTGTTCTGTGCAGTTTATTTGGGATCTAATGGTAGTAGTGTTACGTAACGCAGCATAGCTATTTTTGAACAAAAAACAGTTAATTAACCATGCAGCAATGCATATTATGGATAATCCAGTGAATTAAACACTTTACAAATGAAAAATACATCATCTTATTTGAGTATTTTCTTTATCTGAGGATGCAAACCAAGGTCAGAAATGAATGGGGGTTTGGGGCAAAAATGCCACCAAAATGGATAAAAATGCCCCTCAAATTTAAGATAAAGGGGCAAAAAATGCCCCTGCACAATTAAACCAAATAAATTTAAGTATCTGACATAAAAGACAATACAGATATTTAATGAGGGAATTATAAAAACGGCCCTTACAAAGGTAAAAAATAAAATGCCCCTTGAAATCAGTTCTGGCAGCAAATACTGCCCCGTAATAGAAAATGTAATTTCTGATGCTGATGCAAACCAAAGAAAAGGTTATTTATAAATGATTAAAACTGACAACACCTGCTTCACATTGAATAACTCAAGATAAACACAAAAGACTTTCAACATTATACTAACAACATCATAAAAGCCATTATACAAATCGTAAATTGTACAATATTTGATATACAAAACTCCAAAAGTTGGATTACACATTAATGCACCAATCAGAGATGTAGACCTAGCTCTTTCTCTGCTCATATTGTTGAATTATTCCATGATTCTTTGTCAATTTCTATCATTGCATGGTACACACTATCATTCTGTCTGGCCCTACGTCAAGATGTTGAGCTTTCATCTGTTTGCCAGAGTCACTAGATCAAATCAGCATCGTGCTGTCATTCATCAACCTGAACTTTCTGGGAAGAAATTCCACTAAATTTGCTACACATTGTTAAACTATATTAAAATATGAGCTTCGTTTGATGTTCTAGGCACAAATTCAGTTGTATGCTCATCTAGTTTGACTTCAAACTTTGTTAACTTTGCGAATATGTAACTGTGTCCAACAAACACAATATTACAGAGCCTTGAGAACAAATCAACTGAGAATATACAGCAAGCTGAAGAATGAGAGTTTCCACAAATCCACACAAACTAAATCACAGACTTTGCTAAAAGTAGGCTGAGAAAGTCTCAGCAGTAATTTGCACTCAACCAAAAAAATAAAAAATAAATAAAAAAGTTTTGAGGTATTTGCATTTGAAATTGTGGCTCACTGGAAACTTCAAAGGAGTAGTTCTATGTAGTTCAACCTGAAAATGACAACCTTATCTACAGTATATGGTTTATATTGTTTTTAGCTGATGCATTGGGAAAAAAGGTTTGGAATACAGGTTTGGAAGAACATAATGACAGAATTTTAATTTCTGGGTAAAGTTAGAAGAATTACCTTGTGTGAGAGGCTTTGGGTCTGGCTGTCTGGGTTCAGCCTCCTGTTCATCTTCTGTACTACCTCCATAATCACTCTCTCCAGGACTCTTATCTGCCGCAGTCTCCATCGCCTTGTGGTCTTCACTATCTGCCTTTTTCCTTCCAAGAGAATACAGTAGGTACAACATGCTAATATGGCATATGAGAAAACATATCAAAGACTCTCAACATTTCTGTAATGACTCATTCGCATGTTCCAAACAAAGTGAGAGAAAGCCAGAAAATTAGTTGTGCTGTATTTTGCATTGAAAATGTCTCTTTCATTCAAAATGTACACTAATGAAAATTTGTGAAAACAGTTTTTCGTGACCTCACGTCCCCAGTGTTTTTATTTATTTATTTATTTTTAATAAACACTACCATTTAAAAGTTTGGGGTCAGTCAAGTAAGTAAATAAATAAGTATTTTTATTTTGCAAAGATGCATTAAACGGTTTGAAGCTGTTCTGTTGTAAGTAATCTTAAAGATTCCTAAATGCATCTACTTCTGGAAGGCCAAATAAAGTGTGTGACGAGTGGGGGCGGGGTCGAGAGCCGTGGGAACGGAGCGAGAGAGGACCAGGCCTGGAGTTCTCTCTCCTCCGACACTATCGTCACTCCTTCCTTTTATCCTTCCGGAGCTCCTCCGTGAGACTCGAGACCGGTGAGTGGTGC